GAGAGTAGACAGCGAGGTCATGTCACGCAATAAAAATGGAGTACACCCTCTTTCAATTTGAAGTTTGTACGTATCAGGATATAATAAAAAAAATCTTGTTCAGACCAGGTTGTGATTTATTTATTTATCTAAGAACATCCCAACTTTTAGAAATGCTTATAGCGTCATGTCCTGTCTAAATGTATCAGCCTCTCTCATGCATTCATTTTTACCCAGCTCTCCTAAACTCCCACCACAACATTTTAATGAGGGTGGGGTCTGGACTTTGGCCCAGTGCAGCACCTTGATTTCCCCCCCAGTTATTCTGTTGCAGATTTGCTGCTCTGCTCGGGATCTCTGTCTGTTTGACTCTGTTTTGACCAAGCTTTAGCTCTCAGACAGTTGACTTCACATTTGACTCTTGAATAATTTTCTATTCAAGCGTTTTTAGATTTTACTCAAGGTGCCCGGGTCCCGTGGCTGCAAAACAAGCCCCAATCCTCTCCCCTCCACCCATGTGCTGTGGGTGCGTTTTGGTGAAACGTCTGCATTTTGGTCGAATCTGAGAGCATCGTTCCACAAGTTCTGCCATAATTTGTTTTTAGACAGAAGATGCTTTCTCCTGGAAACCCTTCCAAACAAGTCGTACTTGTTGAGTCTTTTTCTAATCGTACTGTCATGAACTTTAACATTTAACATGCTAATGTAGCTCTTGGGTGTCTTTGCAGTTTCTCTGACCTTGGGGGTGAATTTGCTCGGGGGGGGTTTCCTCTCGGGATGATTTTTCTCACTGCAGAATGATGGACTTTAAATTCTTTGGAAACAACCATGTAACCCTTTGTAGATGGATAGTAAGGGGGGGTCCTGGTACAGGTTATAGAAGCATAGCTAAGGCTCACCTGATCCATCTTTAACTGTAAGCTCTATGACAAAAGAACGTTTTAAGGCTAATATTAAAAAGTCGGGATGGTTTCCTGAGACAAACCTGATGGCTGAATGTTTTACATCCCGTTGTACGTGTAGAAGCGTATGTATGGAAAAGGATTTTAAATGAAATGAAATATTTCATAGCAAGCCGATGAAGAGATGTAAGAGAAATAAAATCTGTTCTTCTTGTGTCAGTGTATGTGTGATGTATGTGTGATCGGCATAAAGTGGCCTTAAGGTTCATAACATTAAGCTAATTAAGCTAATAGTTAATGTAAAAAAAATCAATAGTTAATAGTAATAATAATAATAATATCAATAGTCAATAGTGTATATTTCATGGCAGAGATTGACGTCCTTTAGTCCAAAATCCAGTAAATGTAATAAAAAGTAATTACACAGCAAACAAGCAACAATCCAAAGTTAATGAATCAGCGTTTTGGCGCATTACTGTAACGTAACTCCTATTCTAGAATTTCCATCAGCTCAGCTTCTCTCTGTTTAATCTGCCCGTCATTAATGAGTTTTTCACATTCTGGCTGCTGTTTTCTCCCCGAGTTTAACAAGTGAAACATACGCAGTGTTGGGGAGTAACGGAATACATGTACCGCCGTTACGTATTTAAAATACA